CTCCCCCAGCCCCCCCGGCCGAAAGAGGCAAAGCCCCCAAACAGAGGGCAGGGTGTGGCCCCCACCCTTAGCCCACGACTGAGCCCTCTTCCTGAACGACCAGCCTCGGGGCTGAGGCCACGCTCCTGGCCCGGTGCTCTGGGCTGCCGCCTCTCCAGCCTTAGCAAGTTGCTCCCCAGCAGGCCTGCTCCCTGGTGCTGGGCCAGGTGCTGGGCACACACTTGGTGGCCTCTGGCCCCTTCCAGCTCGAGGAGATCCTGGAAGGAGATCCTGGCAGGCTCAGCCCCGGGCTGCTCCCTGCAAACAAGCTGTAAACAAGGCTCCCCAGCAGACTCTGGGCAGCTGTGCAAGGAGCTTGGCCTCTCTGAACCTCACTCTCCTTATCTGTGAAATGGGAAGTAAGAGCCCTTCCTTTGCAGCGTGGCCAGGAGGATTGGGTGAGTGCGTGATGCATAGTGTGGCTCCCTGCACGCCTTCCTCGATATTAGAGGGAAGTGGCTAAGCCAGGTGTCCAACAAGGGGCAGCATTTAAGCTGAAGGTGAGGCAGGCCTTCAACAATGAATACCCACAAGACTCACAGCTACTGTCAGGCACTGACCCAGCACTTGCAAGCTCCTTGCTTCCCTTGCCGCAGCTGCTTGAATCCTTTCAACAACCCCGTAAGTCACCTACTCTTATTATTCATTCCCATTTCAGAGATGAGGAAACTGAGGCTCAGAGAGGTCACATGGCTTGCCCGAGGCCCCTCAGCCAGTAAGTGGTGGAACCGGGATTCGCACTGGCACCTGAGATGCTGTATGACCAGGACCTTCCCAGAGCAGGAGTGTGACGGGGCTGACCAGGGGGTCGGTGGTCCTGGCTGAGGTCACTGCTCGGGCAAAGGTGGGAAAGTATTGGGTCGGCCTGGGAACTGGAGTGCTCTGGTGTGTCTGGAGCTTGGGGCATCCGAAGGAAAGGGTAGCGAGAGGGGAGGCTGGACCGAGATGGCCTGGACTGCCAGCCAGAGGGTCGGTGCTCATAAGCGCGACCCTGGGATTCTGGACACCCGTCTTGCTCCCCAAAGGGCTGTAAGGCCTAGGACAAGCTGCTTTTCTCTTCTAATGAGCCTCAGTTTCCTGATCTGTGTGGCAGGCACCGTACCCAGTGAGAGTCCCCAGTGCGCCCTGACTGGCCCTCCGGCCTGGGGGAAATCTGAAATCTGAAACCCGGCTTGGGAGGAGGGGGGCTTCCGCGGAGAAGGGGGTGGGGCTGGGCAGTGGGCGGAGTCATGGCCCAACCAATCAGGAGCGGCATGTGGGGGGGAGCCTCCTTTGGCCTGTCGTGCCGTGGCTATTCCTGGTGGCTGTGTAGGAGTAAACAGCCGCCAGGTCAAGGGGTGGGGATAGTGGCGGGGCCGGGAGGCCCCTGGAGGGGAGGACAGAGCTGGGGAGCCCTGGGCCTCCGTTTCTCTTCTGCACACTCTCCCTCCCTTAGTGCCTTTTGGCCTTGAATCTGCTGGAGGTGGCTGGATGCAAGTACTTACTCCCTTTTGACAGGTGGGGAAATTGAGGTCGGAAAGGAGCTAGGGCCTGTGAGGAGGTCCCCTCGCAGCTGCAGCTGCTAAGGGCCGACTGGGGCAGGAAGGAAGGGCTGTTACTTGAGGCTCCCCACCTACCCTCTGAGGGTGCGGCTGTGGTTATAGCGGATTGTCCAGTCTGTGCCCTTAACTTCTAAGGGCTTGTTGTTAATTAACGAAGTCATTCAGCGAACCTCCTGCACCCACCTCCACGCCTTTGGAGGCACAGTGGAGAATGTGAGTGAGGATCTGTGCCGGCTGCACGCTCGGAGAGCTCTCAGCCTAGCCGTGAGGGGACACACAGAGGAAGTTCCTGGTCTACCCTAGGCTTGGACGCTGAGAGGGCATGAGCAGGGTCCAAGAGGGCAGGGTATTCTAGACAGAGGGACAGTTGATGCAACTTCTGGAGGGCTGCCTGTGCAGAGGAGTTTGGGGACCTATAAGGAATAGTGCTTTATTCCAAGCCCACAGGGACCTAAGTCAGAGTAGGAATATACAGTGGGGCTCTTGCTGCGTGGGGGGCAAGCCCCCCAGCTTGGGAGCCAGCTTTAGGCCCTCCAGCTGCCTAGGAGAGCTAATGAGTGGGAAGGTCCCTGCTCAGGAAGCAGAGTGGGAGAGAGAAAGAGAGAGCAAGGAGAGAGGTCAGGCTCTGCACCACCGGGCTGTGTGACCTGAAGGCAGGTTCCTGCCCTTTCCAGGCCTCAGTGTCTCTCTCTGCAAAATGCATATGACCCTGAGCCTTGAAGTCATGGGTGGGTAGGAGAGCTGGCGGGGTGGGGAGGGTGTAGCCTTTGACCAGCTGTGGCCATAACCCTCTCTGTGGCTTGCAGGTGTGACCCCACATCCCTGCCCCCTGGGCCACCTGCAGGACGCCGGCCCCTGCCCCTCAGCAGACGCCGGAGAGAGATGAGTAGCAGCAAAGTAAGTCCCCCTTCATTTCTTGTCCCCATCTCGGCCTTTTATTTACCCAGTGAAATGGGCTCCTTTGGATCTGTGCCCCAGACCCAGACAACCACCAGTGCCTCTTCCCAGCCAGGAAGTGCCTGATGCCCCGGAGGCCCTGGCTGGAGCTCTGCCGTGGCCACTGATCTCTGTGGCTTTGGGCAAGCTCCTACCTCTCTCTGGGCCCATATCCACCTGTGTCTTCCTAGGTTTGACTGGTCCATCTGTGGTAAAGGAGTGGCCCATGTGATGGACACAGCACTGGGATGTGCTGGACGGAGGGTACTGCTCTGAGCAGTGGTCAGAGTCAAAGATGACGGAATGTTGTTTGCATCACTCTGAGGCTGTCAGAATGATCGATTCGTTCCTGCTTTCCTGAGCACCTACTATGCGCCTGGCCTTGCACACGCCTTTCCTGGGATCCACTGCAGCGAAGCTTTGGAAGAAAGAGCCTGAAGGTTGGGGGTGGTGTGGTGTGGACGTACCAGTGTGGTCCAACTGAGAGAAAGCACACAGTAATTTGAACAGGGAAAGTTTAACATAAAGAATCATTAGCTACAGCCGGGCATTGGAGTCACAAGGGATGGGCGTTCTGAGAAATACAGGAATAGCCAGTACAAGGAACAGCCACCACCGGCAGGGCCGAGACCCAGGCCTTGCTGGAGAGGGCACAGCTCTGGCCCACCGGGTGGCAGAGAACTCACTGTGGCGGTCTGCTGGTGGAAGTCGTCACAAAACCACTCCCTGGGCTACGGGGAAGGCTGCTCACAGGAGACGACTCCCAGGAGGCACTCAGAGCTCATACAAAACTGCTCCGGGGAAGCTCATGGTCTCTGGGTGTTGTGTGTGGTTGAGTGTATTACACCCGCTGAGCTCTAGAGAGGCTGTGATCATAGAAGGGGCCAGAGACACTCTGCTCCCAAAGTGCCTGAAGGCACGTACAGGAGGAAGCTGCTGGCCACATGTGCTGTGGAAGCCATGTGCTCTGGGGGAGCAAAGGCACCGGGACCAGGCGTCAAAGCCACCAGAAGCAGGAAGCCAACTCCTTTTCTCCTGCATTGCCTCTCCAGCATCCTTTCCTGACAAAGCTTCATCTGCGTTTAGCTGCCAAGGACGTGCATCTAAGGGCCCAGGTCCATTTGCACAGGCAGGCAAAAAGGGTGAACTTGGAGCTGAGAAGCGATACGTGAATAACCAGCACAGAGGGGCGGTTAGCGCAAGGAGCCAGGATTTCCAGGCCTTGCCTAGCTGTGCCGACCCTGGGCAGATGAATCCCAAGGGACACTTTGGATATCGCTTTCCTGCCCTGGCAGTGACAATGCATCCCACTTTGTCCCATGCATCCCACTTCCTGACCAGATCCGTCCCCTCCAGCTTTAATGAATGATAAACATGACATTGGATTACTGTTTGGGGAAGACCTGGCTCCCCTCCTTTGAATGTCCCACCTGTCTCCAGGCATCCTTCCAGCTGTAGCTGGAGGGGTCCTTCTGACACCCACATCCAGTCCGATCCAGCAAGCCTTCTTTGAGAACCTTCCGTGCTTCTGTTCTCTGGGAGCTGGGATACGGTGGCCATGGAGGCCATCTCGGTCCCAGCCCGCGGAGCTCATGGCCTCACTGGGGGGACTGCAGTTTGAACAGTGTGACCGGCGCTGTGATAGGGGGTACTCGGGGGCCAGACGAGGTGGTATCTGAGCTGGTCTGGAACGAAGAGCGGGAGTGAGCCAGGCGTGGTGGGTGGCAAGGATGAGGCGGGGGCCTGCCGGGCGGCTGGGCGCTCACCAGCCTCTCCCCTCTCCAGGAGCAGCGGTCAGCAGTGTTCGTGATCCTCTTTGCCCTCATCACCATCCTCATCCTCTACAGCTCCAACAGTGCCAATGAGGTCTTCCATTATGGCTCCCTGCGAGGCCGCACCCGCAGGCCTGTCAACCTCAAGAAATGGAGCATCAGCGACGGCTACGTCCCAATTCTTGGCAACAAGGTAGCATGACCACCTCGGGTCGCTCCCTGAGACCGGGCTGGCGGCTGGTCTTTCCCATTGCCCGCCGTCACTGTTCCCTCCTCCTCCTCCTCCTCCTCCTCCTCCTCCTCCTCCTCTTCTGTCTGCCTTCTAAAGGAAAGGGGGGACCCCAGGAGTCAAGACCATAGCTTCCAGTGCCTTCAGCCCCTTGTTTGTTTGTTTTTTATTTTTTTCTAAATGTTTATTTATTTCAGTGGGGGGAGGGGCAGAGAGAGAGGGAGACACAGAATCGGAAGCAGGCTCCAGGCTCTGAGCAATCAGCACAGAGCCTGATGCGGGGCTCGAACTCACGAACCGCGAGATCGTGACCTGAGCTGAAGTCGGACGTGTAACCGACTGAGACACCCAGGCGCCCCATTCGGCCCCTTGTTTGCTGTGTGATGTTGCACAAGTGCCCTGTCTCTCCCTGGGCCTCAGTTGTCTTCAGGGTTCCATTTTTAGTGCTGATATCCTACTGCCTCCTGAGTCAGAATTCCTAAGGAGAGATGTCTCTGGTTTTCACGGATCTCCGTCTCTGCTGGGTAGTCCACACAGGGTTTGAGAGCAGAAGGCTCAAGTATTTGACAACACAAAAACAGTCCTAATAATGGCTGCCCTTTGTCAGTTCCCCGCTGTGTGCCGGGCACTGTGATTAGCGGTAATGAGCATACCAACCCTGTAAGGTCAGCATTGTTATTCGCCTTGAAGAGATGGGGAAACCAAGACTCAGGGAGGCAAAGTCACTTGTCCAAGTCCACACAGCAAGGGAGGGGAGGAGCCAGGGTATTTTTTGCCCCAACCCCTGGGGAGTTGTAGCTGTAGAGAGAAGCCAGAAATCATTCCTGGGGCTTCTGTTTGCCTTGGGTAGCCGTGAAACGCAGGTTGTATTTCTGGGATTCACCCCATAATCCTCTGAGCCCTAGATGTTTTCTGGGAGGCCAAGTAGATAGTCATTGGCCTGGAATATGAACTCCGCCTCCCAGGAGAAGGTGGTCTCCCAATCCCTGCCTGCCTCCTTCCCCTCCCTCAAACCCCACCCCCCCAGGGGTACCTAGGCAGCTCAGTTGGTTAAGTGGCTAACTTGGGCTCTGTCACAGTTCCTGAGTTCGAGCCCCACATCGGGCTCTCTGCTGTCAGTACGGAGCTGGGTTTGGATTTTCTGTCCCCATCTCTCTCTGCCCCTCCCCATCCCCCCCTCTCAAAAATAAACATTAAAAAAAAATTAAAAACAACAACGACCCCCTCCTAAATCCCTCAGGGTCTTTGCACACGTGGTGTGTGGAGAGCCTGAACCAGGGGCTCTGAATGCACCCTTGCTGGGAAAGGGCCCATTGGCAGGTGTTCAGAGATAGATTAACACCTAACTGAGACCGTAAGAATCCTTGAAAGAGAAACACAAATGATGGGACCAGGGAGAAAGTGGAACAGCCTGAGTGTGGGTGGCACCAGCCTGACAGGGGAAGCCAGTATAGCTCGGGAAGCCTGGAAAAGCCATCCGTTGAGGTCCATGGGAGCTGTTGTTAGATCTTGGAGCGAGGGCTCAGAGCAGACTGCCTGGAGGAGGTGGCGCCTGAGCTCACACTTAGAGGGCGAACAGGAATTCCATGGGCAGAAAACAGGCCCCGGAGAACACGTGGTTCCAACTCATTCACCGGTGGGGGAAACAGAGGCCCAGACGGGCTTCCACACTCTTTCCTTTTCGACAGGTGGTGTCTTACGTGTGGATGGTGTGGAGATGTCATGGGTGCCCTGGGGAGGTTGCCCTCTTAGGAGAACTGGACCAAGCCCGGGGCTCTGTGGCCATATCGACCTGGGTTCATACCCCAGCGCTGCACTCCTCTGCTGGGTGACTTTGGGGACATCCCTGCATAACTGTCCTGTCCTCCTGTTCCTTCACTCGGCTCCGGACAAGTGGCCGCCTTTGGCTTCTCAACACACGGTGGCCATTCCCACTTCAGCACCTCTGGTCTTGCTGTTCCCCCGCCTCAATTATTTTCCTATGTGATTCCTCTTCATCCTCCTGGTCTCGGCTCCGACAGGCCCCCACTGGATGATCTTTCTAGAGGAGCCCCTGCTCCTGTCCCTCCTGATCCCTTGCCTCTGTTGTATTGTCTTCGTGGTACGTTTTGCTCACCACCTGGCATCATTTGATCTTTTACGTGTTCTCTGCCTAACTGTGCCTCTTGAAGGCAGGACGGGGCTCTTTTCCTCATAGCTCTGTCCCTGGTATTTAGCCATTAGCCAGCTTGCTGGAAGTGTTTGTTGAATGCCGAGCGAACAGCCTTCAGCTTCCCTGTTTTTAAAATGGGCAAAATAATTCCTGCCTCCTGGAGGCCTGGATGTACAGAGCCTAGGGCCTGGCACGGAATGGTCGTGATAGTGTTGACTTTCCTTGCTGCCTCCCCCCAGACGCTGCCCTCCCGGTGCCACCAGTGTGTGATTGTCACCAGCTCTAGCCACCTGCTGGGAACCAAGCTGGGCCCTGAGATCGAGCGAGCCGAGTGCACAATCCGCATGAACGACGCGCCCACCACAGGCTACTCAGCCGACGTAGGCAACAAGACCACATTCCGTGTAGTAGCCCATTCCAGCGTATTCCGTGTGCTGCGGAGGCCCCAGGAATTCGTCAACCGGACCCCCGAAACTGCGTTCATCTTTTGGGGCCCCCCAAACAAGATGCAGAAGCCCCAGGGCAGCCTTGTGCGTGTCATCCAGCGGGCAGGCCTGGTGTTCCCCAACATGGAGGCCTATGCCGTCTCTCCCGGCCGCATGCGCCAATTTGACGACCTCTTCCGGGGTGAGACGGGCAAGGACAGGTACCAGCCTCCTGCCTGCCCCCTCCGGCCGGCCCTGTGCTCCCCATCAGCATTCTCTGCCCAGAGGGCCTGTTGTTCCCGGCATGCACTACTCTGAGGGTGTGGTCACTTCCTGCTGCTCTCTGCTCAGGTTTTCCTAGGGGATTTTCATTGTGTCCAGCCCTTAGCATGAGTCACTTCCAACGTGCTCTGCGTGGTCTCGTCTCCCCAGGAAGGCTTCCCAGCCTGCATTGCTCTGAGGGAACAGGGCTCCTAGCATGCTCTGCTCCCCGTAGTCTGCCTCTGGAAGGTATTGACTGTACCCAGCATGTCTTGCTTTAGGCACACGGTTGCTCCCATCATACTCTATCCTAAGGATACATCTTTCCCAGCATGTCCTTCTCTGGCTAATCTCCCCAGAAAAGCTAGGCCGATGCTATCCAGTAGAAATATAACGCAAGCTGTATGTGTAATTTATACTTTTGTAGTAGCCCAATTAACCCAATACATCCAACATATAGACCCTGTGCTTATTTTGTTTGACTTATCCCTAAATATTTATTTTTATTTTTTTTACATTTATTTATTTTTGAGAGAGAGGGAAAGACAGAGCGTGAGCAGGGGAGGGGCAGAGAGAGAGGGAGACACAGAATCCAAAGCAGGCTCCAGGCTCTGAGCTGTCAGCACAGAGCCCGACGCGGGGCTCGAACTCACGGACCGTGAGATCATGACCTGAGCCAAAGTCAGAAGTTCAGCTGACTGAGCCACCTAGGCAGCCCCTGATTTATCCCTAAATATTTAAAATTTGAGGGTGCTATTGTAAATTGTATTTAAAATTTTGGGGGGTTCCCAACTGTTCATTGCTAGTAGATAGAAATACAATTGGTTTTTGTGGGTTGACCTTATATCCTGTAATCCTGCTAAATTTCCTTATTGGTTCTGGGAAATTTTTCTGGGTTCTTTGGGATTTTCCATATATGTGATCATGTTGTAAGGACAATTTCCAATATGTATGCATCTTATTTCTTTTTCTTGCCTTATTGCACTGGCTAGGACTGACAATACAAGGTCAAATTGTATTGGAAGTGGTGAGAGTAGACATCTTGCCTTGGTCCCGGTCTTGGTGGGAAAGCATTCAGTCCTTCATCATTGAATATGATGTTAGCTATAGAGTTTTTAGCTGCTCTTTATCAGGTTGAAAAATTTCTCTTTTCTAACTAATTTGCTAAGAGTTTTTATCATTATTGGATATTGAGTTTTATCAAGTGTTTTTATGCATCAATTAATATGATCATGTGGTTTTTCTTAAGACTATTACTATGGTGGATTATACCAATTGATTTTTGAATATTGAATCAGACTTGCATTTCTGGAATAAACTCCACTTGGCTGTGGTGTATTATTCTTTTTTATATACTGCTGAATATGACTTGCTAATATCTTGTTCAGATTTTTGTGTCTGTATCCATGAGAGATCTTGATCTGTAGTTTTGTTTGGTTTTTGTACTGTTTTTGTATGGTTTTGGTAGTATGGGTAATGCTGGCCTCTGAAAATGTATAGAATTGGTGTTATTTCTTCTTTATTTTATTTTATTAAAAAAATTTTTTTAATGTTTATTTTTGAGAGAGAGAGAGAGAGATAGACAGACAGACAGACAACACAAGCAGGGGAAGGGCAGAGAGAGAGGGAGACACAGAATCTGAAGCAGCTCCAGGCTCTGAGCTGTCAGCACAGAGCCTGACGCAGGGCTCGAACCCTCAGACTGCGAGATCATGACCTGAGCCAAAGTCGGACACTGAACCGACTGAGCCACCCAGGCACCCCGGTGTTATTTCTTCTTTAAATATTTCGTAGAATTTGCCAAACTCTCTGGGTCTGGAGAGTTCTTTTTCAGAAGGTTTTGAACAATGAATTCAATTTCTTAATAGTCACAGACACTTAGGTTAATCTGTTTCATCTTGGCTGTGTTTCAGTAGTTTCTGATTTTCAAGGAATTGGTACATTTCATTGAAGTTGTGAAATTTACGTATGTGCTTGTTTGTGGTTTTCTTATTGTCCTCATGTCTACAGGATCTGCGATGATGTCCTCTGTTTTATTCTTGATACTGGTAGCTTGTATCTTTGCTTTTTCCTGGTCAGTCTTGTGAGAGGTTTATTTTCTTTCCAAACTTTCCAAAGAACCACCTTCAATCAAATATATCCAAACTATTTTCGGTTCAACATATGATCAGTATCAAAAACTACCAGTGACATTTTCTGTGTTCTTTCTCTCATACTAAAAAAATCCCAGGCATATTTTACACCGACAGCACATTTCAACCACACATCGTGTGCCCACATGTGGCTACTGGCTGCCGTAGTGGACAGCGAAGGCTCCAGGTCCTTGGCTACCTCCCATGCCTTGCTGTGAACCCGTGGTCACTCTCAGCATGACCTTCTCTGATTAGTCTCCCTTTAGGCGTTTGCTCCTAGCGTGGGCACAGCTGTTCCTAGCAAGTTCCATCAAGCAAGGCCATGAGTCTAGTGAGCTCATGGTCACTTGCAACCTGCCCTGCTGTGACCAGTCTCCCCGGGAGTCTATTCCCAGCGTGCCCTGTTCCTTCAAAGGCGCTCTCTCCACACCCCTCATCTCTGCCCAGACAAGTCCTCTGCCAGCATGCACGTGTTCCCACAGTGGGGCTGGGCTGTGGGGCGGGGGAGGGGGGG